ATATATATATATATATATATATATATATATATATATATATATATAATTGCTGATAAGCAATCATAGCTTAGATATGAAACAAAGTCATAGAAATGGTTTTCTATCGAAATATTTTTTTAACAGAGTTCAAAATAACTAAATGTTTTTTGTTACTTATTTTTCTAGATAATTGTATTTTCCTAAATATTTGTTTTATTTCCAAAACCAAATATTTATTTTCCTTTGTCTTTTTTTTTCCAAATATTATTTGAAAGATGATAAAATATAAAATATTTATTTTACTTTTATTACCATACCTCTTAAATAACATTTTCAATTTTTGCAAATAACCAAGCACAGATGAAATTTTTCAAATTATTGTGAGAAAAAAATGAAATAAGATAATATTTAACTTTGTGTTTAGACTATAATTAGATAGATGACAATCAGAGCAGTTAGAAAATTCTTATTTTTAATTACACTTTCATCAACAAATTTTTTCATGCAGAATTTTTGGATTTATATTAAAATTTCATCAAAATGAAATTACAAAATCTAACACTTATAAAATAAAATGAACTTTTTCCTACGCTAATTCTAAAATGCTATGCTAATTCTAAATGAATTTATTTTTAGCTACTTTTATTGATTGAACCTTAAGCCATTCGTCGTTGACTAATTTAATCGTATATTCGAAATGATTTAAGAAAAGTCAAACATGCAAATTATTGATTGCAATAAATATGACAGTTTTTTAAGACGACATATCGGCATTATAAGTTAGTTAGCTGGCCCATAAATAGTTTCAATACTATCGATAATCCATGAAATGTAATTAAATTTTCCCATTTTGCACCTTGAGAAAGATACTAATAAGTGGATGCGTTTGACATGAGAATTTATGGCAAAATAATTGGCAGCAGTAAACCATTCAAAAAAAAAAAATTTTTTTTCTTATAAATTTTTTTTGATTTCAAAAATCTCACATTTTTGATTTTATAAGATTGCAAAAGAATCCATTTAATTTGAATTAAAATTGAAGAAAGAGGAGGAGTTATGGATAGGAAGATGGAGAAAAAGTGAATCTTTCGTGTTTCAAGCAAAACTAATGACAATGTAGAAAGAAAATTGCTATGATGAAATAAAATGAAACTTATTTAAAAGGTTTCAAATATCATTTATTCAAGATTTGTAGATAACCAATCCCTTCAAATGGAACTTATTTCGAAGATTTCAAATATCATTTATTCAAGATTTGTAGACATTCAATTCTTGAAAATTACAATGATATGTTTTCATAATTTCACAATTCGTTTTCAATCATTTCTCTAAAGTTATTTCTCTCCATTTTACTTCAATCAATTTTGCAACAGAAATATTTGCGAGCAAAATAAATCTGCAAAAGAAAAAGAAGTTTAGTGCAAAATCACAAACCTATTTATTAATGTTTTCAACCTTTTAGTGTCAATTTTGTCTTCGCAATCATGGCTAGAAAAGGATAAAATTGTTGAAAGATGCCACTATGTGAAGAATTTTCATTTCATATAATAACTGATAGCTAATGATACATGCATTCGGTAAGATAAAAGAATTATATTAGCATAAAAATAGTAAATTCATCAATGCATTAATTGTTTATGAATAAATACATTGCTGCAAAAATTATGCATTCATCGAATTTTTTATAGTGCTAATTTATAAAGCCTCAAAACTGCGTGAATTTTTACGTCCTTCTTAAAGTTATTCAAAAGTATTGAAAAACAAATTACTTTTTTGTTATAAACATTTTTTTAATTTTAATACTGGCTTCTTTGTTACTAACCTTTTTAGTTTTCTGAGTAAAATTTTTCTTATTTTAACTTGGTAGAAATTTACCAATCCATAAAGTCGATAAACGAAAACGATACTTGTGCATATCATTGTCCATAAGAGCTATCGATTATGTACTCACAATTAGATTTTAGAAGCAAAAAATGAACTGTGATATTTATCTAATCTATGAAAATTGATTCAGTATTAGAATATTTATTGAATTCTGTTTTTCAAATAAAAATTGAAATATATGAGATAATGAATTTTAATTAGTGATAAACGAATCATGCAGATCATTTGTATGTGAAAAGTTCAACTTGTCAACATGCCACTGCTAAAGTTGCAGTTGTATTTGACGTTTGTTCACATCTAGATATGACATATTTCTCTGTAATATTTTTAGGATTGATGCAATGAACATATCATCTAACATGACTGATTTTTTAATTCAACATTCCTATTATATTCGGACATATGTTTATGCAACAACTGGGTTATTATTATCAGTGTTAAACATACCGCCATTTATAACGATAATCACGGACAAAAGTTTTCGATAAGTTTCTGAGATAATTTCTGTTTCGAAATTAAAAATTAAAATCAAATTAAATTTTATATTTTATCAGGTATACATTTCTACGAAACCTGATATGTACAAAAATGAATTTATATTACGAATTGACGACAATCTTTTGTATCGAATATATTTCTGGTAAATTTGGTTGGATAGAATTTCCATTTCCGCTAATGATTGATCAACCATTAGGCATCGGTCAACATGATACAATGCTGACAGGGAATTATTGATTTATACAATAACCGTTGTGGGAAAGGAAAAAAAAAAAACGAATAATTTCCATCTTTCAATATTGATAATAAAATTCCAAGGAATATAATTTTTTACGAATTACCTTACAATATTGTAAATTGCTAATTGCAGCACTTACTACTTTATCCTTTCATTTATATTTGTTCACGGTGGTATCACCGGTTTATTGAGTCTAAGCTATGCAATCCTCACTTTCTGTAAACCCTATTGGCACAATGAAATGATCCCGAATACGAAATGCATATTTCAGGTAGATTGCATTGTTCATGCATTCTAGAATATTTGAAATTTTTGTATGTACTCTTTCACTTCTAATTCAATGAATAAAACTTGAGACAATTATACTTATAGCATAGAAACTAAATTAATGTTTGTTTTTATCTTTGCTTTTTTTTTTTTAATCAAAGCATTAATTTGATTATTAGAATGAATTATGAAGTAACAGAAATAAAAATTTAATACACGATTGATACACGGAAGAAAAAGGAGGAAAGATTATTTGAATATAGTAATGAATACAATATCAACATTCCATTACAATCGATTCTTCTCGTTTCCTTCCCTCATCCTTTTTTTTTTTGACCATGAAATTTCTTCTTAGTTTTAATTTTTTTTAACAGAAATGTGATTTCATATTAAAATGATCCTTTTATTTATTAAAGATAATAAATTTGAGTCTTTCATTAAAAATTGTCACTGTTTTTATACATAGTAACTATGATTAGCAGTGTTAATTATTAAATTTGTCATGAGTTTACTTCTCAAAATTCACTTTAAAAGAACTGATATATACCGCAAATCCTCAATAAATCCAGAAATATAAATATTACTAGTAATTTACTCACATTTTTAAATTACAGATTAGTACAGGTCTTATGCAAATGAAACTGTTAAATGCATTTGGTTTACTGGCCAATAGCATTGATCGATTGCTTGTCATGATTGATCCGATTCACTATTTTAAATCACTTCGTAAATCAAACGCAATATTATTAACTGGCTTGTATATTATATCATTTTCTGTCGCATTGCTGAGCATTATTATCACGCAATTAAATCCAGTTAGAATGACAGGAAGCAACTGTGTGTAAGTCTTAATATGATTAAAATCACTGGTATACAGAATTCGTCAGAGAATTCGTCAGAATTCGTCAGCGATATCCGTTATATCCGAATAATGCCTAGTGCAAAACGCTGTACAAACCAACAGTTTATGCGATGCAAATTTCACCTCCACTTTAAGTCCAAATCTAAGTGAGGCAGGATTTTCAAGGATTTGAAGTTACCAATCTTCAAATAGCTAGAGTGCGAGATAGCTTCCAGGTCTCTAAGGAAAACATAGATCAGTTTTAATGAAAATAACCAAAAGATCCAAGAATTATTGACAAAGAAGAGAACTATTTTACCAAGTATGCCTCGTTCAGTTATGTTACCATACAAGGAAAGCAGCCTTTCATTCTTGCATGCAGTAAGCTGCAATAGAAACTTCGAAAGATTCAGAACAAGCAGAAAGATCAATTTAGCAGAGTATGAATCCATATACCACGTTCGAATCTCCTTATCCAATCAATGTAAATGCCCAAATGTTTCTTTCACAAATGAAACCTCCATCCTGAATTGATGGTCTGAACATATTTCATCCTTGTATTACATAAGATTGACAAAGAGATAGACAACAGGTTAACAAAGGCATATAGAGCTTTCAGAGGATTTTATAAAAGAGAGTTTGGGAAAATGAACACCTGATATGAAGTACAAACAGAATTAATGTATTTACCTACTCCTTTAATATGGGCCTGAAAATCATTGATCACCTAATGCCACTATGATTTCTAGACCGCTGCCATTAGCGGTGTCTCCATGCAACTTTCAATATCCACTGGACTGATTATGTGACTAATGTGATTGTCTTTGAATAAGGCAGTGGTCACCAATATTGAGCCCATTTTGCTGTAAAAATGAAGCTGCGCTAGGCAAAGCACTTCTCCAGAATGGATGATGGCAGCCTCTTCGAAATTGAGCCTTATGGTGTTAACCTGCCACCGTCTTCCGCAAAAGAAGAGCCACAATTCCTTCAAAGAGGAGATATAAGAATTCTCTGAAACAATACCTCAGCCTTGGGCCATATTCACTACCATTAATTATATTCATTGTCTTGGATCGGCCGATGTGGTGACATCCATCCATAACATTGTCGCTTCCATTGAAAATGCACGCAGGATTTAGTCTTTAGACGAAGAAACAACACAGAAAGAATCCTGTCTCATCAATACCGTCTAACGAAACTTTCCGTTGTGCCATTTGCAACGGACTTGCCTATCTCGATATTGACCTCTTTAACCATCAGTCCGCATCCAACAAGCATGAGTAGAACTCCTCACATATATCATCGTTCGCAAAGCCAAGTCATGATAATATTGCATTATTTGCTATCGTATTGTTGAGCATTATTATCACGCAATTAAGTCCAATTGAAATGACAGGAGACAATTATTCGTAATTAAAATCAATGATATTCAGAATTCGGAATTTTCCAGTAACAAAATTTCTATTTTTATAATTCATATTTCATGAGGAATTTAAATATGAATGATATCATAGGCTAATTAACATATATCTAATATTATGAATCTAATAGATCTTACACTAAATAGCTTTCATGCATATTTAATTGTGATTCTTGATACGATCATAACAATTAATTATTGTACTGCCATTAGTACTATCAGAGCAAAAACAAAACAGTGATTAATGACAAGTACTATTCTGTTGTGAATTAGAATGCAGTTGAATTAAAATTTAATTTTCAGTCATACAGCTGCACTTGATCGAATGGCATTGTTTCTTGTGCAGCTTTCTATTTCATTAGGCTCCTCGATGAGTATTGTTGTAATGGTATGTGTTGTGCACTATAATAGACGGTTAGCTGATTAATTTTTTAAATTTCAATAATATCTAGATTGTATGATGCTTTCCTACAAGTTTCAGACTTTAAAAATATAGTCTGATTCATTCGTGGATTGTTTAGAAGTGTTTGAAATAATTGATAATATGTGATAAATAAATATAAGCCATCCATCTTCTTTCATTTCTTTTCATTCACTTTTATCGTTTCATCTAACCTTTCAAATAAGATCTGAGAACAAAATTGAACGAGTGGACGTTTAATGAAATATGTGAAATTGACCATAAGAATTAAATATTTGACAGACATTAAATAGTTCCAAGAGCTAAACATTTTCAAACATTCCCCTTTGAAAGTTAAGAAAAATTAAATGAAACAGCTGAAAGAACTTATTCCCTCTAAAATAAAAAATAAAAATAAATCATCTAGCAGAAAGCCTTTGCAGAGGATTTGAACCGTATCATAAACGATTTGATATTATTGCTATATTTCCGGGCCATTTCCATTTTGTCAGCATTCATTTTTAATTAGTCCATCAAAAATTGTATCAATAACTTTTTTCATAACTAACGATTCATTAACCTTCGCCTTTTACAAATTAAATTGATAATTTCAGGCACTTTGATAAAATTATGAACAATGAGCAAAATGTAAACCGAGATTTACGAAATTTTTTGAAAAAGCAGAAGAGCTTCACGTTGACAGCAATCATTTCTTGCATAATTACATTATGTAAGATTATTTTTTCATTTTCCACATTATAAAATTTCCTTTTTTTTTTTTGAAAGTTGCAGTTTGAGAAGTCATTTTTTATTTTAGTAAATTCAATTCCATTATTTGATAGATAGAATTGTGCACAACTGATATGGCAAACATTGATAGTATCTCGACTATGAGTAAGTTTGCATAATAGGTTAGTGATAAAAGCCTGAAACAAAACAAAAAATTGAATTATAAGAGACTTTAACCGATTCAGATATGGTAGATTTACAGCTAAGACATAATCTCTGTCTGTCTAATAGTAGTAGCAGCAACGTATGCTTATTCGATTTAATAAAATAAAGGAAAAGGAGAAACGTAAATGTAAAATTATCATATAATAATAGGCTGAACTAAATTAAATTGCAAAAAAATGAGTTATTCATTTCCTATTTGTTTTAAATAAATGACAACATTACAGTCCTATATGTGATACCATCCATGATAATGACAATCTGCAGCAAAACCGAACGTCAAACCTGCGTTCCTATCGGTACCTGTTGTAATTTTTTATGCTATCTAAACTCCATCAATTTGCCGTTGCTATTCCTCTATCGTCAAGATAACGTCCGTAGAAAGATGTTCGATTTCCTATACCATCGTTCAGTGATTCGTACACCTGTACAAATGAATTCTGTCGCCCCCAAAAATCGGATAATAGCATAATCTTCCAAGCGTTTGATATTTTTGGCTTTCTACAAGTTTTTAATCCAATAGATAGAAATATATTTATTGAAGTCAAAAAAATACTTCAATTAGAAAGAAAACGAATTAATAATTTTTCTACTGTAAAAAAAAAAAAGGTTGTTGATTGTTCGGTACAATAAAACGATAACATGTATATGATTCGTGATGATACACGCAAAATGGTACCAAGTCATTAATTGTGCGAATGGAAAGTTGTAAAAATTTTGTCATGACCAGACTTCCTTTTTGAGCTTCGGAATAAATTTTAAGACTCAACAAATGCGCATTTGCGCACTGTTAACTTGTCACCATCACATAATCGCACAACATGAGAAATGCACAGTTGCTGCGCATTTGCGCACTGTTAACTTGTCACCATCACATAATCGCACAACATGAG